CTTATCCGTTACCGCGAAGGGACTAGGGGCCTACTTAACCTAAGGTGTAGCGCGTCGTTATATAATAATACTATTAAGATTATAATAAGAATAAGGGGTATCCCTTTCTATTCACTAAGCTAGAGCGCTATTATACTACACGATCCTAGATTCAGGATTATCAATTTATATCTTTAATAATTAAGGCTATTTTACGGCCGTTAGACTACCCACGGATACTTTATCTTTATCTCTTTATGTAGGTACTTATAAGGCTTCTATCCTTAGATACAGAGATATTAAGCTACGTATATAATCCTTATCGGGCACGAAAAGGCTATTATACCTCTATAACGTTATATACTATAAGGAATTCGTTACTAATATTATCTCGGAATACTAGCTACGCCTATAAGGTTACCGCTAGGATACCGTAAACGATACTATTATTAGCTCCGCCGACGACCGGCCTATCTATAAGCTATTAGATATTCACGGCTAGTATATAATTAAGCGCGCGGAAGCTGCGGCCGCTACCGCGTTCGCGGTCTCGGTAATATACCCCCGCGATAACCCGTATAGAAGATTATAATAACCGCGGTAACCGTAAAAGACTATAGTATAACGGTGGTATAAACGCCTTAGCCACTGCGGTACTGATACTCTTATAAAGATCGTTAACGCTACTTAGGGGGTAAAGATAAAGGGACCTCGTATAACGGACTATAATGTGTATAGGTAATCGTAAATATCTATATAGATCAGGCGGATACTATCCCTTTACCCGTTAAAGCCCGGAGAGGCCTTAGCTATTGACTTTAACGATCTAAAAGAGTCGGAATCGTTAGGCGGCCTATATAAGTCTATTATATTTATTATAGATATATATATATGTTATACGTGGGATTACTACCTATAGACAAGAGACTAAGGCTTTATCCTACACGCGTTAAAAGACGTTTTTACCCTGCTTAAGACCTAATTCGACGTTAGGCCACGCGTTCTACGAACTGATTCTAAGATATTATAGCACCCAGAAATCGCTACTTTCCTCGCTACTAAGGGGGTAGAAGGCTAGCCGTTAGCACTATATTTATATAATTAAAACGGCGTTATAGAACGAATTAGAGGTATCGTTAAAAGGAGGGCGAGGGTTATAAGGATTATGGCTAATCTGCCTACGTCTATTTAGCCTAAGATCTTTAAGACTACTATATATCTATATAATAGAACGCTATAATATATTAACGACTAGGGATCGCTATACGAAGGCCTATACGGCCGTTAACCTAACCTTGCGTACCTATAAGCTTACGGCTATAAGGCCTTTATAAAAACGCGCGATGCCTAAGCTAAAAGAAACCGCCTATAAAGGCTAGAACCGAAGGTATGGATCGGTTATTATATCGGATACTAATTCTTAAATAGCTTCTGTATTTAGCTACTATACCTAATAGATATTATTACTACGAGAGATATAGTCTTTAATAAAGATAAGATATTTAACGGTAGGATTAAAACACTATAAGCTATAGCTTCCGCCAAGGAAATTGGGGAAGGCCTATAATCTATCCGTATTATCTAATCTAATAAGACCGCGAATAGGCTGCTATTAAGGGGTATAGCCGTAGACGTATTAGATCTTAAGTCGGAAGACTCTAACGCTACCACTATTACTACGGGTAAAGGCGACGCTACCGCTACTACTACGGATAAAGGCGAGGCCGTTACTATTACTATAAGGGAGGCTACTACTATTACTATAGACTATATTACTACTTATTACGAGGTTCTAAATCTATAGCCTAATACCTAGGCTGTAGATTTAGAACCTCGTACCTCTAACGCTACCGCTCTTACTACGGGTAAAGGTAATAATACCGCTATTACTATACGCTAGGAAAACGCTACCGTTATTATTATAGGAGAGGCTACCGCTATTACTACGGATACTAATACTATTACGGATACTCCGCAGTTTACCGTTACGAGGTTCGAACCGTTTCCCACGCCTCTAATATCCCCGGAAGATCCTACGCGCGCGTTCCTTATAGCGTTAGCGGTGGTTAGGGGCGTTAAGGTGGAAGGAGACGATAATAATTAACGGGCAGCTATAGATACCCTTAGGGGGTGCCCGTTAGCTATACGCCTATTAGCCGCGTGCCTATCTATCGTAAGTATCCATAAGACCAAGAAGGTATAGAACGATAACGCCTAAAAGGCGTTCTTTAATGCTAGAAGGACTTATAACCCTATACGTAGGAGGAAGTAAGGTATTAATAACGGTAATATTATCGGCGCTAGTATTATAGATCCCTCTCCCTTTAACGCCTCCCTATCGCGCCTAACCTGCGAGGATCTCCTGCCTCCGCTAAACTACTACCACGATATACGCCTTTACCCGTTACGGGAGCGGTAGTTATAGGCTAAGGGGCAATACCTTAAGAGGCACCGATAGATAGGCTACTAGTAGGAGGTCTATAATAATTAGGCTAATAAGTAATAAGTCCTCGCCTATAGATAGGTATACACCTATAAATTTAATAAGGAGGGCACCCTCCTTAAGTATAAGGCACGCCTTGTAGTATAAGGGTATTAATAAAAACAGTTAAAGACTAAATATAACTACGCCGCCATGTTAGCCTCGCGGTCCTTCCATATATTAATAGCTATCACTACTCGATTTAATCTAGAAATAAGGTAGTTCGACGCTATTAACGCGTTTATTAACGCTAGCCTTAAAGAGAAGATATTTATAAAGATACCATAAAGCTACGAAGTACTAGGTAAGGTCCTACTACTACGGAAAGCCCTCTTCGGCTTAAGGGTATCGCTACTACTATAGTAAGAGGAACTTAGCGGCACGCTATAGAAGATAGGATTCACGGCTATACCTAATAACTCCTATATTATAATCCGCGATAGTTTAATCTTATTCTTCTACGTTAACGATATCGGACTTATCTACTATAAAGACCGTAAGACTAACGCCGATAACATTAAAGCCGCTCTTAAGCGAAGCTATGGGCTATTAGGAGGCGAAGAAATCCGTTAGTTCCTAGGAATTAAGGTCATAAGGGATAGAGCCACCCGTAGGTTATAGCTATTATAATCTTCCTATATAGAGAAGATCGCGGTTAAATACTACGTAGATATCCTCTGTCGAAGACCACTAAAGGTCCTATTATTAACGATAAAACCACTAATACCACGTGACGGCACGCGCGCGACGATTCCTAAGGTCCGTTAGTATTAGGGTATAATCGGTTCTATCCTATATACTGCTATTATAATAAGACCCGATATCACGTTCGCCTATTCGAAGCTTTCCTAATATAACGTTAACCCCTCCTTTAATTACCTTAAAAGGGCTTAATAAGTGCTGCTATTCTTATACTATATAAGGCACTACTCCCTGGAATTCGGTGGGGATAGACTCTTCCTAACCGTAAGCGACGCGTCCTTCGGGGATAATCCAGACCATAAGAGTTTATAAGGATATACGATAAACCTCTTCGGTAGCACCGTTAACTAAAAGGCGGGTAAGTAACCGATAGTTATAACGTTATTAATAGAATCGGAACTACTCGCTCTTATAAAGGCCGGCCGCTAAAAAGACATTATTTGTTAGCCGGATATTAAGGGATTTAGAGCTTCGGTTAGACTAATAGTAACTATAGCTATACTACGATAATTAGCAGACTATTAACCTTATTAATAAGAAGGCATAACGCCTACGGATAAGGCTACGGCATATCGATATATATAACTAGTAGGCACGCTAGTTAGTATAATAAGGTCTTTTTAAGGTTATATCCGTTAATACGAAGGAGATAATCGCGGACGGTTTAACGAAGACACTACCGGAGGCGGGGATTAAAAGACTATAGTAATAGCTTAATTTAACAGATTAAAAGGATGATATCGAGTAATCTAAATAGCTATATAAAAAGATTAAACGCGCTAAAGCCACGGCTATAATAACTACGAAGGCTTCCGAGGATATAGTAGATCCGATAGATATAGATCCGATTAAGTAGATCCGGCTAATTAGGATTAAGGAACTAATTAAGATAGAATTAAATTAAACGGTTAAATAGATCGGATTTAGATCCCTTTTATAAGGGCGTTTTTTCCCTAGACTATTAATTTTACGATAGAAAAGTTAAGAGTATTTAGTTTAAACCGAAGCCTCTAATTAGTTAGTTAACCTAGGAAGACCCACCTTATCTAAGGGGGTGTATCGTATAGGCAGGACCACGATATAGTCCATAGGAGATCTAGGGGGGATTTACTCCCTAACTAAGGGCTTCGGACCTCGGACATTAGGATATAACAGGGGCGGATACCGGAAAAGACCGGATAGGATCTAAATAATATAGTACCTATAACAGAGTCTTCACCACCTAAATTAAGGGTATAAGAGACTTACACAGATATAACTTAATATAATACACACACACGAGATTTCTGCTCTACTAAGTTAATTATCCAAGTGCTATTTGACGTGCGACAGATCCGAAGCCCTTAGTCAGGCACGGATCCCCTATGGACCACGTCGTGGTCCGTGTGCCCATGCGACAGAAGTCCGGATATATTACGTTCCTGCGCCATCGCCAGCCAACACGGACTAGAGTTTGCGTACAGTACTTCAAACAAAATGGTACCCAGCGTATTCGGGGACCACCGCGGCTGTGGCTTATCGCAAATGGTCGCCGACCACCTGCAGGTACCAATCTACGAGAATTTTATTCAGCTCAAGGCCTATGCCCCGCTCAGGCTGCCCTACGGGCCAGCTGACCTTGTCGCTCTACGGTGGCACAGAGTACATACGTTACCACTGCGCCTCGGCGTTCCTGGTTCGATGCAGCCCTCCTCCAACCCCACCGGGCACTGGGGCCACCGCCTTCATTTAGTGGGACATGTCTCTCAGTAACACGCACGATTCGCGACTTGCTGTTATAATCGCCTGCATATGAACAAATACTTTGTCCTTATATGGATCATGGGGGCCCCTTTCCCGCTTCCCACTATTCAAGAATGTCCTTGTTTTCCGAGTTTTCTTGCCCAACCTTCCAGACTAACGCTCTTGAACCCATCCCGTTGCAGCATACGTGGTTGACTCGCCGCTCGTTTCTGCGAACTAGGTAAAAGAAGCATTGCTTCACTATCAGGATCACGTCAATCTTTGCTACTCGAATCTGGTTCCTCACAGATAAGATAGCATAGCTCGCTGGCATGGCCTCCACCATAGGTTAGTCTCATCTACCTATCATCTAGTAGCACGCTTGGTACAGGTCAGAGATACGATACAGTTCAGTGCACCTACTAATATGTGCGTGTTAGTGACGGATTATTAAGGATATCACTCACAGGCCGATCACGCGTAGCAAAAGAAGAGTCTGGCAAGTTAGCCGGCGAGGTAGTTAGCGATCTACGCTGCCCCTATTAGTTTCGAACAAAGCGTATCATACGCCCACGTACTATGATACCACCGCTCGCGGCATACAACCCGGACTCGTTTTCATCGTATTCAGAAGCCTCTCGAACTACTTATACGTCGTCCCCTTTGGCCATGACTGGGGCGGCCGTGTTTGAGCAGTCATCGACGATAGCTGAATCCGCGAGGCTGTGCCACGGCGGCAATCTGTGCTCCCCAGGTACACTGGAAGACGGCGACCTACAGGTCCCCCCTTTCAGTCTCTCCACGGCTTCGGTCCCTTCTGCCGCCTCGTCCGCGGTCGGTTCTCCCCAGTCTCACCACGGTCATCCAGGGGCAGTCCCGGATTGGACCCAGCAGAAAGCCACTCCTAGCATTGTTCCCAACGAAACCTACAACCTTTGCAGCCCAGAATATACCTCGTTCGGCCCAGGTATGGAAGAGTTTGTTTTCGAGCTTACCAACTCTAAGTTGCCCGGCTTCGTCGGTGAGTTATCAGAGCTCTCCCTTGTTGCTCCACCAAAAGGCACACCAGCCTGGTTCGATATATGTCTTTCGGGCGATGCATGTCAAAGCAGACGCTTTTCGGAACGTTGTCACGGCGTTGGCACACTCGTTCCATACCTCTTCTGTTCACCTGTTTTCAATTTAGCACTAGACGCTGGCAGACTCTAGGCATGCCGCTGACCGCGTTCTAACGCCGTTGGAGCAGATCCATCTCTGGTGCTCCCGAGCTTCCACGGACCAGTGAATATACCCGTATACGATATCCGCCTGCACTCCACCCGCTATCCCACCTCTCCTTCCGCGTCTTCATCTCCACAGCAAACCGCTCGCCACGGCAGTCGGTCACCCTTCCTCCACGAAGAGGGTCAGCAATCATTCAGCCCCTTTCCGACACCCGTAGATGGTCGGCCGCAGAGTGTGCTCTCGTTCCCAACATCATATTCAGACAAAAGCACCTACAACAACGACGAGGTCAGGGAGAAGCAGCGATGTCCCCACCCCGAATGTGGCAAGAGTTTCAAAGATCTGAAGGCGCACATGTTGACTCACCAAAACGAGAGGCCAGAAAAATGCCCCATACAAACGTGCGACTACCATTCGAAAGGCTTTGCGCGGAAATACGACAAGAATAGACACACCTTGACCCATTACAAGGGAACCATGGTATGCGGGTTCTGCCCTGGATCTGGATCCGCGGCTGAAAAGTCATTCAATCGCGCCGATGTGTTCAAACGGCACCTTACCGCAGTCCACGGGGTAGAGCAGTCGCCACCCAATAGCCGAAAGAAGTCGTCGGCGCCAAGTGATGGAAACAAAGCCACCGGTTATCCGCCTGACGCGACCGGCAAGTGCTCCACGTGCTCGCAAATTTTCTCCAACGCACAAGACTTTTACGAGCACTTGGACGATTGCGTGTTGCGTATTGTGCAGCAAGAAGACCCGGCTGAGGCTATCAACGCAAGGCTATTGGCTGAGGTTGAAAACGACGAGGAGGTGCATCAGACCCTAGAGCGCAACAGTTTGCCTTCACAGACGCAGTCTATTCCTTCCTTGGACGATGAGGACGAGGACGAAGACATGGAGGATAACGAGGGCGATGGCGGGGATAGCAAGACGCTGGATCAGCTCAACTCACCGATGAAGACAAAAACCGCAGCTATCCAAACAGGACAGCTCAAGTCGCGGGGGTTGACGCATTCGCGCGTCGGTGTACCTCTGCGCGTTAAAACAAAGGGTCGCAAGAACAAGCAAACGAAGCCCCTCTCGTGGGGTTACGACAGGGGTCTACTAACCATGAAGAAACGCGTCTTGGGTGTGTTCGATGGCCCTCGACGGCTTTCCAAAGATGATATGATGCTCTCGACGGAACACGAAGTCCGCATCAAGCTCTCGGATGGCAAGTCATATGTTACCGACCTAGACATGGCAACACTCAGACGTGCGGAAGGGTTCCACAGCGCCACGGAAGAGGAAAAGGGGGTTTGGATCTCAGACGACCCCACTGAGGAACAGTTCAAAGAAATGCAGGAGCTGCAAGACGCGCTAACCGGTGGCCAGGGGGTGCAATGCCCTCTTCCGCGTGGTTCGGCTCCGCAAGAGTCTTGGCAGACGTCCTAATGTGTTCTACGTAGTACGGACTTGCGAGGAAGCAGGGACTGATTACCTATGTTCGCGGGATGCCCAGTCACTCTACGAAGAATTGCGCTGCTACCGAAGAAGAGTTCGGAGTTTTGTTTAGCGTTTGCATTATATAGCATAATCATTACACAATATGGAATATAAAGGCTGTCAGAATTTAAGAATATCTTTATATGAAGGCTAAAAAGCTTAAGTGCGTGTTATGGTATAGACCTCCTCAGCGGGTACGGAGACAGAATAACCAAATAGCCGATAACGCGTTAGGCATCGAAGATAAATGTCCGTAGGATTATTAGGCACTGAATTTTTCCCTCCCATAACCTAATATTTTACGGCTTTAATAGTATTGATTTAGACCCTAAATCTAATCTATTTTATCGTATTTACGGTTTTACTATATTTAATATATATTATATATAAGACTGGATATTCCGACTATAGTTTTTAGATATTCCGACTATAGTTCTAATATAGACCTATATCTCTAACTAATTAAACTCCGTCGAGTTATAGCTATTACTATAACTACTAGTTCGTTAATCTAATAACTATAAGATTATTAATGTAATAACTACGAGATCGTTAATTCGACTTAATTAATAGCTATAATAGCGCTTCTATTACCTATTCTCTTTGCCTTAGGCTATAACGAATCTAATAATCTCCTAGCTACTATAAACGACTACGCGAAGGAATACGGATACGCCGTTATAATCCGACGCTCCTCGCAATAACAACAATAACAATAATAATACCAAGGCGATAATAACCGTAGGCGTAGTCGTGGGGGAGGATAAGGGCAAGGAGTGCGTGGCCGTGGAGCTATCGTAATAGCAATCGGCTTTAATTAAACAGGTAAGCTTATACGTGTTACGGGTAGTGGCCCGCGGAATAGTCCCCGGTAGTGGCCGGGACTAAGAAGCACGGACCTCCTAGCGAGGCCTATACGATTCTATATATACTTAGCCGCCTATATACCGCGTAGACTTTTCCTTTCCTCCCTTTCGTTCCTTAGTTCGAATAATCTATATTTTCGGCCTTAATACGTGAATAGCTTTTAATAAGCCGTTATGTGTTCGAACTCCTAAGACTATAAGCTTTAACGCTTATATAGAAGGAGGTCCGGGTTATTTCGCCCCGAGCCTACTAAGGGGATAAGGGTAGGTCGTAAAGACCTCGTATAACGAGATTAACGAATACGTATTATAACACGTATAAGAAGCGGTAAGGATATATATCGCCCCTATTTATAATATAATCGCTAGCCTATAAGCAGCCTTTAAGAGGTCTTAACTTAACCCGTACCTCGTGCCTACCACGCACCCGACGCCTACCCTAGTCGTCACGCCCTCGCCCTTACCTAGGCCCCTAAAGGCAGAGGCTACTATACTTATCCCGCTACCGCCGCCGGCACCTATACTCTTATACCGGGTATAGTAAGTCGCCGTTCCCGTAAAATTTAGTAGGAAACGTATAGAATATACCGCCTAATCCTAGGCTATACGACTAAAACTTAAACTTAATAGCCCGCTATTTTATAGTAATAAAAAGGCGTGGTATTTAATGAACGCGTGCTTAGACACCTAGCCTTAATAGGTAGTTAGTACCTTCTTCGGTAACGGAGGTATAAACAGTGAATTTAACTTAGGGGAATTTATAGCTTACCTTAACCGTATATATGAGGACCGTAACGAATAAGGTCGCGCTATTAACGCCCTGAGAGCGATAAAGTAAAAACCCGACTAGTTATTCGTGCGTTTCCTCCTAACCTTTAAAAGGAACCTAGCGTATGTAGGAGGCTATAACTAGATAGACTATATTAAGATATCGTTTCTTAACAGCGCCCTAAATAATAGGCTACGTAATAGCCTAGTAGTAGCCGACCTCCCCGATACCTATACTAAGTAAGTCGATAAAGTATAGATAATCGCGTAACGATAAAAGGGTGTTAATAAGTCGTACTAACTGATTCCCGTCGCCCGCAAACCGGCTAAGGACGCGGACGGCGATATTATTATAGGTGGAGTTAATAAGGTTAACAAGTCTAAGGTAACCTAATAAAAACCTAACCGCTATACAAATATTATATATTAGAATTACTAGAAAAAAGGCTACGTCTAATAGCACTACAAGAGTAAAAAGGATATAGTAGGCCGAATATCCCCTTAAACAGGGCTGGCGACCGATATCACTCCTTAGCATAATTTGCAAGGTCCCTGAGGGGATATTAACCGACCGGATCGCGACCGTAGCGGAGGAGTATCGGCTCCTCCCGGAGGGATAGATAGGTAACTAGACAGGGCGAAGTATAGAGACGGCAGTATAGAGAGTCACGGAGGCCGTAAAGGCGAGCTAGGCCTACGGCGGCACCGCTTCGATACTCTAACTAGATATTAAAGGTGCCTTCGATACTATCCCCTATTCTCGCCTTATTAAGGTCCTTAAAAGGAAAGGCTACCCCCGGTAGCTTATTACCCTAATTAGTAGCTTCCTCTAGGACCGTATAGCTTAGCTACTACTTAATAGCGAAACGGCCTTACCGCGGTACCTCCGCGGGGGTATACCGTAAGGCTCCCCGATCTCCCCTATCCTCTTTATCCTCTATATCTCTACTCTATATAAGGAGCTAGAAAGGGTCCTTAAAACGATAGTAGTAGGTTTTAACGACGATACGAATATTATCGCCATTAATAGGATAAAGGTATAAACACGGTAACGCCTCGCCGCCGCGTAGCGGATATACCTAGAATAGGACATAGCTAGCGGACTATAGTTTAAACTAGCTAAGTATATCTATATCCCCTTTATAAAATCACGCTAACCCTTACCTACCCCGCTCCCCTTAATACTATTTCGGTACCGGTAACAGAGGCGATAAAGTTCTTAGGCGTTTAGCTTAATAGGAAGCTCGACTTGGAATAAAATACTAAAAAGGTAAAAAGCCGTTTAACCACCTAAATATACGCCCTCTTAAGGCTTAGCGCGGTAGCGTAGGGGTATAGCTTCGCGGATATAAGAAGACTATACTTCGTAGTAATATAATTAGTGATTACCTACTACGCCTTAACTATTTATAAGATAGGGGCCGGCCTCCGGTAAGGCCCCGTAACGGTATTTATAACGGTATAGAACCGGTACCTCTAATTAATAGCCGGAGCCTATAAAGCCACGCCGGTTAGGGTCCTCGAAAAAGAGACCTTTATCCCCCCCCTTGACCTATACCTCTTAAGCCTTAATACCCGGAAGGTCCGCCGGATATAAGAGGAGGGAGCCGAAGATAAGATATTAGCCGGAGTATATACTATAGCGAGAGCCTTAGCGGTACCGAATCGACATTATAGGACCTATACGGCCCTCGCGTAGATAGCCTAACTTAACGCCCTAATAACCTAGGCCGGAAACACGGCCCCGAGGAAAGCCCTTATAAGGGACTAGGGTTAAACCTAGGCAGAGTTATAGAGGCTATACACCTACGCCGTAGCAGCACTAATCCGCCCCCCGATATAACGCTCCCTCCGGAAATATAGAGGACTCCTAAAGCTATAAAGCGCCGTACTTACCTAAATTAGATTAGAAAAGCTAAGCCTATAAGCCTTCTTAATAAAAGTAAGGGTACCGGGATTTCTAATAACGCGGTGCCCCTACGGTAATAGGGGGGCAGAAATAGCGGAGCACGTAATACTCTAGTACTAGGATATAACTAAGGAAGAGCGTAGGGAGCTCTTCGGTGCTATAGGGAGACTACTTATAACTAAAGGAGATTTATATAACGTATTAGACCACAATATAGAAGCCGGGGCAGTTATAAGGTGGTTCCTATAACGGAAGAGGCTTAAGGACTTCCGCCTTACCCTCGAAGTTATAAAGGCCTATAAAGATACCCGTGATACCGAAAAGGGACCGTATGGGGGATAAAGTAGTATAACGACTAATTAATTATTAGGATAAGGGCCCTATAAGCCGGGACCCTAGCGGTATCGATATAGTACTATTATAGCACCGATTAGCTTTTATTATTATTACCTCCCTTAAAGGCACTAACACCGCTTTTAATATACTTAAGACCCTATTAGGCTAGTTAGCTAATACCGCTAAGGAGCCGTAGCGGGACTAAGGGGGGAGCTACTTATAAGGTATTCCAGGATCAGGTTTATCTTACCATTTTTTAAACGTCTTATCTAATAAGATAACTCCTGCACCTCTACCGACACGGTGCCGCCGTGACTATAACTGGAAGGTAACGCCCGGTTTAGGGCCCGGCTAAAAGACCGGGACGCCGTCCCTAGGCGCTCCTTAGCCTATACCTTATTAGCATAGAACCGCTATAGTACCGAAAGGGGATACTTATAATAGCGATACCCGCGCTACTAGCGGCCTTTACCGCTATATACGCCTAATAGATATCTATAAGGCGTTACTACTACTTCTTAGCAGCGGAGGGGACCTATTAAACTATTAGCTATATCCACCCCGACGTATATACGTTACCACCACGGTACTAAGGCGATTTATATCCTTATATAAACGGCGACTATTAGTATACTAGTAATAGGCCGCGCCTATTCCCGTGGTATTAGCGTAGGCTTCTATATTATCGGGGTAAATACCTAAACGCTTACTATAATAAATGTAACTACCCTATATTAGCACTACGATACCACTCCGACGCTATTAAGGGCTATATACGGTATAATACGAACTATTCCGCGCTTATAGTAGCGGTTATTGTTATTAGTATTAGTATTATTAGGAGATAATATCTACGACTATTAGTATATTACCACCGAGGCACCGCTACGCCACGAAAAGAACGTATATTATACTACTACTTTAGATTACTTATTCGTATATATAAATCGCTACTATACTACCTAGTTAACCCTATACCACTAAGCCACCGCGACGTTACCTATAAAATACCTATAGTTAAAATATAATAGGAATATAACGAGAAAACTAAAAGGGTTTACTAGTTAGTATAGGCTGTAATAACACACCTATAAGACTACAAAGGGGAATAGACCGGGGAAAACCTATAACGAACTTATTAGCGTTATAGAAGGAAAAGGGAGGATTAAGGTATAAAGGCCTCGGGGGATATTAACTATCTAATTCTTATAATAGAGTACGGCCTTATTCCCCCTACCTACCGCC